GTGCGACCGCGGCCAGGAGCGCGGGGCCCGCGCAAAGCGCCCACTCCCGGCCCTTTCTGGGCGTTTCGGACGGAGCTCTATCTTATCGGCCGGGATCAGTGGAGGGGGGAGGCTCTAAGTAGTTTAAAACGACCCTCGCACAATGGGCGCGCGATACGAAACATCGCAGGTTAGGGCCGCGCTTTCAGCGCCCATTGTCCCGCACTCGGCCTCCCGCCCGGCCTCTCCGGTCCTTCGCCGCAGGAGTCTTTTATGTGATAATGAAACACATTTCAGGCCGGGCTCACGACGTGTGTGTCCTGGCCCCGGGGAGAGACAGCCCTGATAACTGGATTCTGCCCCCGGATACCCACCCCCCCCGCCCCAATTTCTCTTCCCTGCGCTACTCGAGACAATGTGGCGAGTTAAAAACGGATTTAGAGGTGGGAGAGGGCGGAGGGGGCGAGGGCAAACCCCGCTCGAGCGCGTGGGAAGGCCAGGGTTTAGGGGGACAGAGACCCCTGGAGGGAGCAGAGGACACCCGGAGAGGCCGTCTCCAGGGTTGGGGCGAAGCTGGGGCACTCCAGATTTGGATGGTCAAGAAGTCCAAAGGTTAGTCCCGGAAACAGGAGCCTGGGCTTTAGAAACTTGAGGCAAGAAGTCCTGGCCTCGGAGACCCGCGGGGAGCTAGCTGTGCTCCGGGTGGCCCCGAGTCCGAGGGGCCCGCGAGGACCCTGGCTCCTGACCTCCCCGGCCCGCTGGCAGGCCTGCAGATGCCCCCCGGGCAAAGCCAAAGCCGGGCCCCTTTGCGCATTCTGGCCGGGCCTCCCTTTAGGGCGTCTGTGGGGAGACAGCGCGATTGTTAGGAATTTATTCCGCGTGTTTTTTCATACCCTTGGATTTTCCTCCTAGGCTCACAAAGTACCCCCCACCCCCTCGGCTGCAACCCTGGCTTGCCAAACCCGGCTACCTGGATGCTGTCAAGGGCGGTGGGAGGAAGACCCTGCAGACTCTGGGGTCTCTTCACTGGCCATGGTCACTTGGCAAGTCCCACAAGACACCCCCTCACCTCCGCCTCACCCCAAATATACCCTATGTTTATTTTTTTTATTGATTTTAAAGAGAGAGAGGGGAACGAAGGGAGAAACATCCATCGGTTGCCTCCTGTACAGACCCTGGGACTGGTGATTGAACCCACAACCTAGGTGATGTGCCCTGACTGGGAATGGAACATGCAGCCTTTTTGGTGTAGTGGGCGTCGCTCCAACCAACTGAGCCACCCAGCCAGGGCCAAATATAACTTATTTTTAAAAGGAGGTTTGGAACATCACCCTGAGCGACCCCCTTATAAGCGGTTCCAGGAGAAAGTGTTTCTCAGACCCCTCACTACTCCCGGGCTTCAGTAGAACACCCAAGTGAACCAGGAGGCTGGGGTGGGGTTGTGCGGGTGTGGACAGAGCTCCAGTTCCACAGGAGGGCACAGGATGCCAGAGAGGCTGCAACGAAAAGGCAAAGTGCTGCACCAGGAATTTGCAGATGCAATCTGGGCTCGATGACCTGAAA